ATGGATGGATAATGGATGATGGATGGATGGATGGATAATGGATGATGGATGGATGGATGGATGAATAATGGATGATGGATTGATGGATGGATGATGGATGGATGAATAATGGATGATGGATGGATGATGGATGGATGAATAATGGATGATGGATGGATGAATGATGATGGTGGATGGATGGATGGACGGATGGATGGATGGATGGATGGATGGATGATGGATGGATGATGGATGGATGTTGGATTATGACTTGATGGATGGATGAATGATGGATGGATGATGGATAGATGGATAGATGGAGGGTGGATGGATGATGGATGAATGGATGGATTATGAATTGATGGATGGATGGACAGATGGTTGATGAATAGATGGATGATGGATGGATGGATGGATGGATGGATGGATGGATGGATGGATGAATGGATGATGGATGAATTGATGGATGGATTTTGGATAAATGGATGGATTATGAATTGATGGATGGATGGATGATGGATGAATGGATAGATGGATGGATGGATGGATGGATGGATGGATGGATGGATGGATGGATGGATAGAAATAAATAATTACAGTATTTTATCTCCTGAATGAGCTGAGAGTTTTGAACAGAGAAACAGTGTTTAAACCAACAAGGTTATTATCTAATGTGTTTCATATTTTACTCATCTAAAGTACTTTTAAATCCTGAAACTAAAAGCTCTCCATCATGATTGTAGCAAAACATCAGAGACTACAACAGTTCTCTGGATGACAGCAGGAGTCGAGCCGACATGCTGGAGGCTGACATCATAAACATCAGTGATGACATTGATGAACTRCAGAAGAAGGTGAGAAACACACGGCTAAATGTCTGTTAGGTCTGAAGAAGTTTCCAGAATAAAACCACAAACCAAGACTACGCTCCTCTGCATGAGTTCATAGTTTTCTGCAGGGTGAAACTGATTACTTCTACATATGTTACTATGAAATTTTAAATGTTTTAAAAAACTGGAGATATTTTCTGTGAAAACCATGTCAGTGTTCCGTGCTGAAGACAGATGTTAAAGTTCACTTAAGCCGAACACAAGCTGAAGACAGCATAGCAGTTTGTATAACTGCTGTGTGTGTGAAGAAGTGTTGTGTGTTACTGAGTTTTAGGTGGAAGCAATGACACACAAGACGGGCGACCTGGATGACAGGACCATCGACACACACCAGAGGGCCGACCATCTACTGTCCTTCATCAACAACATCAGCATGGACATCAACGGTATGACAGAGGGAGTAAACTACTCACGACTGTTTAGTTGCTGTCATTTCTCTTCCCTCCTGTCAGCTCTGTGTTTCCTGTCACCCTACCACTCACCTGTTGCCACTCATTAATCAGACCAGCTGCCTCTCATTCTGTCATTAGCCCAGTCCTTATACAGTATACCTTTACTGTATATTCAGTCTTTTTGTCCTGATGCATCTCAGTAATCCAGGTAGAAAAAAAATAATAATAAGTAGGTCCTCTGGATGGGTTCTTCTTTAATGAAATGTTTTGTCTCTCCTCCAAGAGGCTTCTTCAGTCTGAGGAGTTTCAGATGAACTCAATCTTATAAGAACTGCCTCCAGATGGTGGACAAACAGGTTGGTCACATGCAAAAGAGGACCATCGGCCTAACAATAGTTCGTTAGTGCCTTGATTGGCTCTATTGTTCATAGAGGGTCATGTGCTCCATCAYCTGACTATCGTTCGGGCCCTGATTCCCACCTTTTGCTCGTAGGGGGCTGAATCATACTTGCAATAACAGCATTGCATGAGGGGGACAACTGGACACGATGGCCTCCACCTCTGTTTAATGATGGATGGTTTTTCTTCACAAAAATGGCTTCCTTTACTCACCTCTCAAACCAATGTTCCTCTCCATCAAGGATGAGAACATCTTCATCCCTGAAAGAGTGACTGCTGGCCTGTTGATGACTCTAGACTGCAGAATCCTGGCCTGTAGATGAGTGTAGACTGCAGATTCCTGGCCTGTAGATGAGTGTAGACTGCAGATTCCTGGCCTGTAGATGAGTGTAGACTGCAGAGTCCTGGCCTGTAGATGAGTGTAAACTGCAGATTCCTGGCCTGTAGATGAGTGTAAACTGCAGATTCCTGGCCTGTAGATGAGTGTAAACTGCAGATTCCTGGCCTGACAATGTAGCTCGTCTGTGCTGGCTCATTCTTTTGAACAGTGGCTGTTTTGTTTCCCCGATGTATAACAGATCACAGTCCTCCTGGCACTTAACAGCATACACAATATTACTCTGTGCCAGGGAACTGGATCTTTGGGGTGAACCAATCTTTGTCGTAACGTGTTTTGGGGTTTGAAAGTCACTGGGACGTCATATTTAGATCATAAACGTCTCAGTTTCTCTGAAACTCCCGCCTCATATGGAATGATGACTGGTTTGGGTCTGGSTTTAAGGATCTCATCCTTGATAGAGAGGAACGTTGGTTTGAGAGAGCAGTAAAGGAAGCCATTTTTGTGAAGAAAAACAGTCCACTATTAAACATTATTGCAAGTATGACTCCGCCCCCTGAGCAAAAGGTGGGAATCAGGGCCCCAACAATAGTCAGGTGATGGRSCRMATGACCCTCTATGAACAATAGAGACAATCAAGGCACTAACAACCTATTGTTTGGCTGATGATCCTCTTTTGCATGTGACCAACCTGTTTGTCCACAATGTGGAGGCAGTGCTTATAAGACTGAGTTCACCTGAAACTCCTCAGAATGAAGAAGTCTCTTGGTGGAGAGATGAAACTTTTCATTAAAGAAGACCCTGTCCAGAGGACCTACTTAGTTTTCTTATTGATTCAGGATCTTTCCATCTCCACACCACTGGTTCCTTGCATGGTTTTCCTCCGTCGCTCTGTCTCCCTCATGTATCCTCCATGTGTTTGCCGCCATGTCTGCATTTTTGTTTTATTTATTAATTTACATTTTGCTTTCGAGCTCCTTGTGTCCGCCTGTGTTCTGGGTTCCCAACCTTTGGTGACTATGACACATTTTTTGATTCATTTGTAAATAAAATGTTTCTTTGCAGTTATAAAATCGTATCTCTGCTATCAAACTATAAAAATGGCCACACAGGGTGGAGTGAACGAGTCAGGAAGCTGGAGCGGTACTTCATTTGGATTTAAAGCTCATAAAGGGTGCGGGGCTTGTGTAGTTACAGTTGCTGGGATGCAGTCACGTGACCCGGATGAAGCTCGAAATTCAGATGGGAAATGAGATATCGCTATCAAATATATGTACATTTAGGATACGATCCATATCGTCTTAATAAAAAAGACGTCATATAATCTGGAGGATTTAGCCGGTGTTGAGGGGATTTACAAACTATCTGGTGCTGCAGACCTCATATTATACAACAAGCCAGATGAAAACTTTCAAAAACCTCGAAACCTACAATTATTTAGATTCAGKTTGGGTCAAACATTTAGGATCCAAAGAAGCTTTAAATCTCTGTCAACTTGTTTCTGCCCAGGTCGGTAGTGAGTTGTGCTATTTTAAGTAATTAGCCTATGATATCAATGCTATCACTAACGCTAACAACGAGTTAACAACACTTTCATTTCTATGTACCTATTTGTCTTTTTTAACTTGTTAATGTGGAGTATTTAGTGTAGGTGCATTCTTTAAARTCAAATAAAAACTCCATTTCAGTTCTGAAACAGTAAGAAAACAAAAAAGGAAACAATCCAAAGATGAAATGTTGTTCTTTTCTTCTTCTCACAGCCATGCTGCTGCTGGCCAACCAGTCGTTGAATGAAACCGAGACTGGCCAGGATGATGATGAGAGGGAGAGGAAGATGAGGGAGGTGCAGGCCATAATGAGGGAGATGAGGCTCAGGAACCTGACGGGACAGAAAAACCTGGCAGACAGAGAGAAGATGGAAGCAGACAAATGTAAGTTTAATACAAACAGTTTTATTTGTGCTTATGGAGAGAATGTATCTGTCAGTGCACACAGCTAAACTTGAGTTTATGTTTTAAATACAGTTTTACAAGCAACAAAAAAAGGAAACGGCTAAAATAATAAACATAAAAGACAGCTTAACTTTACTCAAGAGTTGATGTGGTAGTAGCTGAGCAGTTCTCAACACTCTGAGTGTGACAACTTGCGTTATTTTAAAGGTTTGATCAGAATATTTAAACCTTATTAAATGTTTAACATGAGGATGTTGGTCTGAAGCTTGATGACTGATACGAGTACTCCATGTCTGTTTTCAGTGTTGGATCGTGTTCAAAAAGAGTTAGCAGATCGTCAGCAGGAAAACAAAAATCTGACCAAGGAGATCAGAGACCGCCTGGCCCGCTTCCACTCTGACCTGATGGACCTCCGAGAATTTCTGAACGAGGCCGTGAACAACACAGCTGCAGCTGCAGAGCTCAACAATGTTAACGAGAAAACTCTGGAGGACAACCAGGTGAGCTGAACCGAGCCGTTCACAGGAAGCAGCGAGAGAGAGAAAGAGAGACTGATACCTGTTCCTGTTGCCCTCAGAGGAGAAGTGAAGAGCTGCTGCTGGAGCAGAAAGAAGTGAAAGACTTGTTGAGCATGGCTGAAGACGATGTGACGCTGGTCAACGAGGTGCTGTCCTCACTGCAGGACTCTAAAGAGGTGAGCACCAACATCAGCTTCATCTTCTCCAACAGAACACAGGCTGACTGTCAAAATAAAAGCACTTTAATTCACTTGTTTTATTTCAATTTTTAACTCTTTCAGTAAATAGAGACTGCAGTTTGAGTTGAACCACATGATAATGGGTTTTTACCTTCATTCAGAGCTGCTGACAAACACGTCCCGCCTCATGTTCACTCACTTTAAGGTCCCTCTAAAACTGGTGTGCCCAACCAGTCGCTGTCCGCAAGCTGATTCCCAGTCGCCCACGAAGCACAACCTTGCTCTAACAGCTGACGAGTCGGCTCGTCAGCTGTTACCCTCCACTCCCCATCTTGTATTCTCACAGACGTRGTCTCGCGAGTTTTGGGTGCTGTGAAACAGCACTCCGAACATGATCTCGCGAGACTTTAGGGACACATGTTTACAACATAGCAGAGAGGCGGAAAAAAAATGAATGAAAGACRAGCTAACAAGCAAACAAAAACTTATTATTTTCACCTGGAGTRGGAAGAGGACTCATGTAATTCGAGTGCTGCCTTGGCTTGTCCAAAAAGGATAACGTGGAACTGCATTTCTTTCAAAACAATGCACAGACCCTACGATGCGAATTTCCCCTCCTAATCGAGCTCAGAATAACCAAAGCAAAGGTAAGGCTGCTAGCCGCGTCCTGTCTCAACACAAAAAAACGTCTGGTGTTGAAAATGAGGTTTTGACTCTGAAAAATGACATTGGGATCAAATCCAGAGCAACAAGTCGCATGGATTGAGAGTTCTGGAGTCTGCTGTCAGAGGAAACGTATCCCACCATCAGAAGAGGTGCTTTGAACTTGAGTCAGCTTTCTCTCACATGAAAATCGTCAAGTCCAAGAACAGATCCACTGATGATCACCTGGAGACCTGCCTGCGCCTCTCATCCACCTCATACTGCCCACCTAAGAGACCCTGGCCTCCTCCTCTCAGTGTCAGAAGTCACACTAAGGTAGACATACATTTATTTTTATATAGCTTGCATAAAAAGTTGTCTCATCTAGACTTGTCAAATGTGTCTGTATGTTGTTTTTTTATTACATTTTAGACCAGACTAGTGTCTTATACACTGATTGGCACCTTTGTGTTATTTATTTATTTATTTATTTATTTTGCAGTTTGGGTGTGCCCTTGCTTTCTGCATCTAACGTGTGTGTGTGTGTGTGTGTGTGTGTGTGTGTGTGTGTGTGTGTGTGTGTGTGTGT